CCCAGACGCCCCTTAACAAGCTGAATGGGGGACCATAATTCTTTGCTTGGTGAGCATGTGACCGCTGGTGTCAGTTCTCACACGTGACTTCCGTATTAAGAGAACTTCAGTATTCCTTTATAATATTTATATAAACGACTAACACACAAGCAAGTGAAAGCAAAAGCTGGACACAATGACTATTGATGTTGAGGACTTGTGCAGGAATGTGTTCAATATAACATCATACAACAGACAGATAGTAACATGTATTATCATTAGATATCTTAGTACAGAAAGAACGATTAAGATTAACAGGCGATAACGTGTACTAATAACAGGGGTATCTTAATGCACACAGAGGGAATACAGACAAAACAATGAATAAATTAAAATGTCTGTCTTGTGGACGAATAATCTAACGTTAAATGAAAAAAAAAGTAAACGATTTTAACCAAATAAACACATATTCGTTTTGCGTTATTGTTCCAACGTATCAACGCTCGCTGCCCGAAGACTCTCGCAAGGGTTAACAGTTTAGCTTGTATGAAGAAGAATCAAATGGCAGTTACGAACAAGCGCTGGGGTCCCGCCGCCTCTGCTTTTATTGCTTGGAATGCTTCGGTGCAATACGCCGCCCCGCCCCCCCCCTTTCCTATCGCACCCCTACCGCTGCCCTCCCAGCCCCCCCCATCCTCACATTCCCATAAGGGCGGAGAGGCGGGGTGTCCACGTGAGCCAGAGGGCGGGTGGGTCTTTTGAGGGGCGAGGAGAAGAAAAAGAAAAAAAGGAGAAGAAGAAGAAGGGGAAGAAAAAGAATGAGAAGAAGTAAAAGAAGAAGAAATAAAAGGAAATGGAGAGGAAGAAGAAGGAAAAGAAAGAGGAGGAGGAGGAACCGTTTAAGGATTCCACGCGGTTACTTCTTTCAACGGGTGGATTACACTCCTTTTCTTCTGGTGGTGCTGGCTGTGCTTTACCCTTTAGCGGCGTTGCTCGCGCGAGGGGGGGGGGGGGAGAGGGAGGGAAAGGGGAGGGGGGAGAAGAGGGAGAAGAGGAGGGGAGGGAGAAGAGGGGAAGTGCTCCTTAAGAAAGGGGTTTTCGATTGAGAACTGATGGCACTTAATGTAGTTCATGGGCTTAATCGTCCGTAACGTACGGCGTGACGCAGAAGCAGTTGACGCAGGGTACGCTTCTCGATATATTGTCTGAGCGATGCCTCGACTCTGGCCTGTAATGCAACAGGTGTATGAGGAGCGTCTTGTGCTGCGGGGAGAGCTCGCCGCCTGATCGCTGAGCAGCACCGGTCGCCGAGGTTGCTAAGAGCTTGGGTTATGAGCTGTATTCTGATACCTGGTCCTCCTCTCCTCGTGCGCGCGTTTGTTTGTGCGCAGAAAGGGGAGGGGAAGGAGAGGGGGAGGGGGGAAGAGGAGGAGGAGGGGATAAGGAAAGGAGGGAGAGAGGAAGTAGGGGAAGGGAAAGAGGGAAAAAGGAAGTGCGAGACAGACAGATAGAGACGGGGGAAGAAAGAAAGAGAGAGAGAGAGAAGGGGGGGGAGGGAGGAAAGAGAAGGAGAGGGATAAAGAGAGAAGAAGAGGGAGAGAGAGAAAGAAAGAGAGGAATAAGGAGAGAGAGAAAGAAAGAGAGGAAGAGGGAGAGAGGGAGAAGGAGAGAGAGAAAGAGAGAGAAGGAGAGGGAGAATAAGAGAGAAGGAGAGGGAGAATGAGAGAGAAGGAGAGGGATAGAGAGAAGGAGAGAGAGAGAGAGAAGGAGAAAGAGAGAAAAAAATACAGAGAGGGGAAGTGACGCGTAAAAGCGAGAGAAAACACTTGAGCTGGACACTCAGGTGACGCCAAATGAAGAGATATCCCTTTCACGCGTGAGGACTGAGGTATGTCGGAGGTGCAATACGCCCGCAGTTATTCGCCGAATCTGTTGAGCGATGCGTCACTACCTACGCTTCTTTAGTCGGGATTTTTTTAAATTATGCCAAATTTATAACTCGGTTTTTCTCTCGGGTATTAGAGCCTATGTGTGGATTGGCAGCACCTCGCATGTGTCCACCCACGTGTCTTGCTAGCCTCCCCCTCCCCCTCCAACCCTTGACCTTGCGAAGAGGCAGCATTGTGTAACTTAACCCGCTTACGACACTTAACGTCTATATTTATACGTTGCGCTCAGGCATTGAGAATTAAACACCTCTTACTCTCAGAAAAAAGGGAGAATTCGGCCCCCAACAAATCTATAATTTACAGAGCTATTGATTACTAAGACTCATTATTTCCGTACGCTTGCAAGGAATGTTCTCGCGTGACCCTTTCTTTTGCAACCTTACAGTGAGCGGGAAGGTCCTTGGAGTGATATTGAATGCCTAAATGCCTCTACAGCTGCATCTGTACACGAGGAATGTTGATTGCGCCCTTTCTGTAACACCAAGTGAATGTATGAGTGTTATTTTTTTTCTCTCTCTCTCTCTCCGTCTCTGTTGTGCGTTTGTACCATACGAGTACACAGTTTTCGGATT